AGATTCCAAGCAACAGCAGCCTAGTTTCCTGACTCATCATGTTCAAAAGGGAGCAAAATACACACCTAATGTGGTATAGACTGTAGAATACCCAAACAGAATACTGAATAGAATATATACTTTCAAAACGCGCCAATACAGGTCCAACCTGAAAAGCAAATTGTTTATGACGCGCACATAACCAGCGTACACCTAATTATAAACCCAAGTGGTATGATTGCCACCTGGGGCCGCAAGCAACAAAAGAGCTATCATCTTCTTTTACTACTACGAAGAATGATGGTCGGGGGTGCCCATAATTTAATCGACCTCCTCAATCTTGGGGCCAGCACCGCCAGCAGCAGCGGGGGCCTCATCCTCCATTCCGCCAGCCATGTCAGCACCGGCGCCCTGGTACATCTTGGCAATGATGGGGTTGCAGAGGCCTTCCAGCTCCTTCATCTTGTCCTCAAACTCTTCCACCTCGGCGAGCTGGTTGCTGTCCAGCCAGTGGATGGCCTGCTCCACAGCGTCCTCAATCTTCTTCTTGTCATCGGCAGGAAGCTTCGAAGCAATCTTCTCGTCCTGGATGGTGTTCCTCATGTTGTAGGCGTAGTTCTCCAGAGAGTTCTTCGCCTCATTCTTCTTCTTGTGCTCCTCGTCCTCGGACTTGTACTTCTCTGCTTCCTGGACCATCTTCTCAATGTCCTCCTTGCTCAGCCTTCCCTTGTCATTGGTGATGGTGATCTTGTTCTTCTGCCCAGTCGTCTTGTCTTCAGCAGAGACATTCAGAATACCATTGGCATCAATGTCAAAGCATACAGTGATCTGAGGGACGCCCCTAGGTGCAGGGGGGATTCCAGAGAGCTCAAATTTCCCAAGGAGGTTGTTGTCCTTAGTCCGGGTCCTCTCGCCCTCATAAACCTGGATCAGCACACCGGGCTGGTTGTCCGAGTATGTGGAGAAGACCTGCTCCTTCTTGGTTGGAATGGTGGTGTTCCTTGGAATAAGCACAGTCATGACCCCTCCAGCAGTCTCGAGACCAAGAGACAGTGGGGTCACATCAAGAAGGAGAAGGTCCTGGACCTTCTCATTGCCCTCCCCGCTAAGGATTGCAGCCTGGACAGCAGCACCATAGGCAACGGCCTCATCCGGATTGATGCTCTTGCAGAGTTCCTTCCCATTGAAGAAGTCCTGCAGCAGCTGCTGAACTTTGGGGATCCTAGTCGAACCACCAACAAGTACAACATCATGGATAGTGCTCTTATCCATCTTGGCATCCCTCAGGCACTTCTCCACAGGCTCCATGCACTTCCTGAAGAGGTCCATGTTAAGTTCCTCAAACCTGGCTCTGGTGATGGTGGAATAGAAATCAATGCCCTCATAGAGAGAATCAATTTCAATTGTAGTCTGCGCTGTGGAAGAAAGTGTCCTCTTAGCCCTCTCACATGAAGTCCTAAGCCTTCTCAAAGCCCTGGGGTTCCCAGTGATATCCTTCTTGTGTTTCCGCTTAAATTCCTGGACAAAGTGGTTCACCAAGCGATTGTCAAAATCCTCACCACCGAGGTGAGTGTCACCAGCTGTGGCCTTCACCTCAAATATACCCTCCTCGATAGTGAGGAGTGAGACATCAAAAGTTCCACCTCCAAGGTCGAAAATAAGGACATTCTTCTCACCAACACTAGTAGCTTTCTTGTCAAGACCGTAGGCAATTGCAGCAGCAGTTGGCTCATTGATGATACGCATGACATTGAGACCAGCAATAACACCAGCATCCTTAGTTGCCTGCCTCTGGGAATCATTGAAGTAAGCAGGAACAGTGACCACAGCATTCTTCACAGTTGATCCAAGGTAAGCTTCAGCAATCTCACGCATTTTGATAAGAACCATGGAGGAAATTTCCTCAGCTGAGAACTGCTTCTCCTCACCCTTGTACTGCACTACAATCATAGGCTTATCCGCTGGGCCAGAAATAACCTTGTATGGCCACATCTTAATATCACTCTGAACACAGGCATCAGAGAACCGTCTTCCAATAAGACGCTTAGCATCTGCATAATTTCATAAAAAGAACCACCATTAGAATCATAATTTGGATGTTACGTTCAGCATCTCTGCTTATATAAATGCCTACAGTCTTGCCCACAGATATTATTTTTAAAGTAACAAGAACTGCATGAGTCTCAACGTCAACAGAAAATTAAGTGCCGGTTCAAAAAATGCCATTAGAATAAGCCCTTTTATTGGATTAAGTTTCTGAAGCAATGGGCAGTTATAATAATATATCATGGATAAACAAGATCTCAAACTACGCCTCAAAACAGTTCAAATGTACGAATTATCATGGATACACCTTGCGTGATGTGTATATGCAAACCTAAAAAGAACATGCATCAACAATAACCATCTTTTGGATACACCTTGCGTGATGTGTATATGCAAACCTAAAGAACAAATCTAACATGGTTTAGGGGTACATGTGAAACATAATTTTTATTATATATAGTATGAAAGATAGATACATAATTTAAGTGCCAGATGTCCATGTCAATCAGACTCAAATTAGCAACTTCAACCAACATGACCATTCTTACAGCAAACATGACAAAAGAATACAAAGTATAACCAAGAACAGCTTAAAGCATAACAGAAGCCAATAATCAAAGTCAAAGTCAATTTAATACTCCGTTTGAATCTAGAAGGTGCATTTCATTTCGTTAGGAAAGCCTTTGACCAGCAATCTATATACCAATACATGGTTTTGTAACAATAAATTGCTGTCCGCAATAAAAAATGGTTATCATTTTGTATCACATAAATGACATATTGAAAAAGAGTAATTGATCAACAAAGTCTTGTAGAAATAGACCTACTAACTCCAAAAGCAGGGTCAGCATGCTTATATATATAGTATAGACATAGAAAAGGTAGCTAAAATCTATAGGTCATTTACAAATGCATTAGAAATATAGAAACAGCTCCAACTACAACAGCTATGTCAGGCCAGCAAATAATTCCAAAATATTGTGCTAGGACTGGTTCAAAGAGCACTGAGTCAGGCCAAGCCTGTTTAAACAATACAAACTGGACCCTACAAAACCGACATTTATACAGTTTGCCACAATATAAAGACGAATTTGTCTTCACACACCATAAAGACGAATTTGTCTTCACACACCATATCAATGTGCAAATGCAGTCATAATAGGTCCTAGAGAGCCATAATGTTGCAAATAAGAGTGCCATGAGAACTACTGGCAATGATAAAAGAACTATGTTTGTGTATGTAAGTATAAAATGCATAACTAGTGACTAATGGATAACAGTGACTTCACGGACGTGTCACCCAACATGGTTTGAATATTTCAAAACCAAAAACTTTTATGTGCCAATTCTCCTAGTGAACAAACAAATACATAAATTACAATAACAGAAAGCAAATCATCATGGTGAGCATAGTACAATCCAATATAAATTCCTTTCTCAGATGAATTTCTACATAGCTCAATCCAATATAAATTATTTTTTCAGATGAATTTATAACACTTTAATAACCGCTAAGTATAAAACAATACCTGGACAGTGCATTATCACCTAGTCCAATCATATGTAATGTGAACGGACTAGAAAACGAAACAGCATTGCGGATCAGATCTTTGCAGCCTTGAACACACCACTGCGCACACACAACAATTCGACTATACCTTACTTCCAAACTAACAATGCGCACTAGATCGAGCACAACAAACGGAGTCCATCAGACAAACCCTCCGTTACTCCGAAAACGATAGGATCCACGAGATTAAACTCTACCACGCGTATCGCATCAGGAACAGAGAAGCGGAAGAGGCGTGCTTACCGAAGACGGTGTTGATGGGGTTCATGGCGACCTGGTTCTTCGCGGCATCGCCGATGAGGCGCTCGGAGTCGGTGAAGGCGACGTAGGACGGCGTGGTGCGGTTCCCCTGGTCATTGGCGATGATCTCGACGCGGTCGTGCTGCCACACACCGACGCAAGAGTACGTCGTGCCCAAGTCGATGCCGATCGCCGGTCCCTCACCCTTGGTCGGCGCCATTGTTGCGTCTAGATCGCTCGCGGCGGCGGACGAGAAGGGGCAGCTAGGGTTAGGGTTTTCGCGGCTGCGCTTAGAGCAGAGGCGATTGCTGCTGCAGTTTTCAGATGCGGAGGCGGCGCCGATGTGGTGGTATTTGTACACAGAGTTCGCTTGGTCTTGGTCTCCCTCCGGAATTGCGGGAGAGCGTGGCCCAACCAGGGCCCAGTTCGAACTCTACAGCTTCTGCAGGTGGGGCCCGTAGAATATAAGTGTTTGACTGTTTGCTTTCTCCACGTGATGGGTGGTCTGTTCGTCTGGCTGCCAATGGACCCATAACCGAGGGTAATTCTCTATTGTTCCTAATATACTCCTGTTTTACCATATTTGACCACGCCTCGGGGCAAAACTTTCACAATACTAGTTTCAAAAAAAAAACTTTCACAATACTATTTTATCCTCTCTTTTGTCGCGATCGTCAAAGAGAGAACTTTATTTATCACCGACGAATAGAATTGTAATATTGAGTATGCAGGGGATGAGCTTCAGCTAGGCCAAAGAGGACATGGCCCCTCCTCAATCTGCGTACTTTTTGAGTTTATCTTGGCACCCTTCTATGAGCCCGGTAGAGTTCCGGCTCCAGCCAAAATAGTTTTAGTTGTGGCTTTACTATAGAGCAGATTCATATGAGGAGTTGAATCTGGTTTTTAGACCGTTTGACAAAACAGTTTCTCCTTATGATGAAAAGGGATGAAATGTTCAGAATACTATTTTTTCTTTTTTTCTCTCCTTTTATTTCTTTTTATTTATTCTTTTTCTCACTACCTTATCTCTACCTTATCACCCCGCACACGGATAGGCCTCGCGTAGGTCGTTGCTCCCCTGTTCCTCTTCCCCGTGCATCGGCTTCGTCGTGCCTCCCCGTGTCGAGGCCACGGCTCCTGGCGCCTCCCGAGCAGCGCGCATCGCCCTAGCCCTGCCCCCGCATCTCGCCGCCCGCGCGCCTCACCAGCACCGTTGCCTCGCGCTGCCCGGGCGGGCCCCCGCTCCTGGTTCCAGCGGATCCGGCGCCGGTGTCCAGCAGACGCACCGCCGTCACCCTCGCAGACGCGCCGGGGGCAAAGGAGACCCATGACGGCGATGGGGCCCGCTACCGCTAGAGGAAGCCAGAAGAAGCCACAAATTTCAGCTCCTACTCTCTCTCTTCCCTTGTCTCAGTAGAAATTCTAGAGCTTCTTCCTAAGATCTAAGCAGGTCAGAGGCGTTTGGTAGGTGGAGCTGAAAAACGGATTCAGGAGCCGACCAAGAATCTATACTAAACGGGCCCTATATTAGTCACAAGCTCCGTCACTATATGTATGTTTTGCCATTGCAGCTCATCAGCGACCTTATTTTGTCCTCTCCCTATATAGTCTAGAATTTCACCTCCGACAACGCTCACTAAGCTCGCGACACCCCTTCAACAGATACATAAGACGGGATCTCTGTTGTATGAGTTTTGAGCGCGTATGAGTTATATGTAGTCCGGCTTCACAATTGCCTTGCGTAGTCTTCTGCTAACCCTGCAAGCCAAAGCTCAACCCCTTCTGCGTTCGTGGCAAGGACATGTCCAATATCATGCCCTGATGATCACGCTAATCCCTACTCACCTTGACTCTTGCTCGAAAGCACCATCAGTATTTACCTTAACCCAGCCTGTTCGGGCTGCTTTTTCAAACAGCCATGCAGCTGCATATTTTCACTGTTAGTACGGTGTTTTGTGACATTCATCGTCAGCCGCACTGTAAAGACTAGCAGCTGAACAGTAGGTTTCACCTCATAGCCAAGGATGATCTGACAATAGGTTTCTTCCCGCTCCCCTCTCTCGGTTAGGCTGTAATAAGCAGTTCATGACAGTAATGCTCCAGGAAAATCACCGAAGCTGGGCACCTATCCCTGTTCGTTTGAACTTATCAACCATGGTATAGTATTTTTCTCTCACAATAAATCAGTCAACAGTATTTTTCAGTCTGGCTTTGTCACATGCTCACGGGCTAACAAGTTGGATAAATATGGATGTGAACTCCCATTTTTTTTTCACGCAATGTTTTTTTTTGTTGCTCCTTAATTGAACCACCCACCCCCCCCCACCCACACACACACACACACTTTGTAATTCAACTTTCCCATATGGTATTATGAAAATACAGGTGGTCAAGGCGTCTAGCTTAGCAAATTCTATGTAAACACACCCTGTAAATATTGAATTGGTTGTACGTTCCTCTTGGCCATACTTAAAAGGTTAAAGGAGGCTTATCTGGAAGGTTGCACTTTGGCCTTTGCCTATGTGCCCCTGCCTCTGCCTTGACGAGGCTTACAGGTGCCTTGATTGTCCATTGATAGTTTGATCAGAAAGCTGAACTAACGACCTATGCTCATAGGATCATATGCCATTCCATGGTTCTGGTGGTTCTTGCAATAACCATTTGGCTTCAGAGAATGAAATGCTGGCATTGCAGCGGTGTTCGTCGCATCCAACTCTTGACTCTTGACGTGTTTGCTTCTGTCGCGCCGCTAACTGTGACTCGTGTTGATGGATCATCAAGAGTTACTGCACTTTGATACTCTTCCCATGTTTGTTCAAGTCCATGGGTGCTGTGCGTTGTTTGTAAGTAAATGCAGTCCTTAAGTTGCTTCATCCTTTTTAACCTGAAATGGTCCATCCATTTGTGCAGGTAACAGATGCATGGACATATGAGCCAAATTTCAAGCGTCAACAGAACTAAAGAGGCTAGACCATGCATTAGTATTAAGAACCCTTTAACCCATGTTCTGATGAACAAAACACAAGGACAAGCAGCACAAGTCAAATTTATAAGTAGAGTCAAGTACTCGCCGCTCACACAAGGATACTGAAGACACGACCAAATTTGAAATTATAGAGATACACATGAACAAGTCTTCATGGAAATTAACCAATACAGTCTACTGGTCAACATGAACTTACTAAATAACGGTTGCACAAAAGCTTACAACTTGTTTGTAAGTAGTTGCTGTCCTGAAGGAATTAATTTCAAAAATCTATAATTTGCTTCCTAACAGAAATGTAGCTGAGACGTAGAGTACATGAGAACCAATGAAGGCTTCAAATAGCAACAGGCACAGTATGTCAGAATTGTTGGTTTTATTTTAAGCTGTGCACTATTTTGACATACAAGTCCACAATGCTTGCAAAAACAAAGGTGCGATTCAGCACTTAACTGTGATGGAATTCATTACACACATACTCAACAATTGCTTAGAACACCACCTCCAAAATTTGTGGATCAGGATCATGAAATAAAGTGGAAAAAATAAAAAGAAATACTTTACAACCAGATAATTCACTGAAGTCCAAGAATTGCTAGTTAAATCTTCAGCTTCAAATGTGCAATGCAAGATTCAGAAATCACGGTAAGTAATCATTATGACAACTTGGTGATCAGCTCTTGAAAATAAAAAACCACCCAGTCGGCTTCTACTGCGACTGGCTCTCTCATTTGAACACCGGCATAACAGATGAACAAGTCTGCCCCGCCAGGTTGCCGAGCCTGCAAAGACATGGGCTAATTAATCTAGCTGTATAACATTTTATTGTGCTACAGCATTATTGTTAAATTGCTATAAACTGATATATCAGAAAAGTCTGGTACCATTAAGCTGCACTGCATACACTCAGTTAGTTATATCTCTCTGAACTATTCACTAACTAAAGAATAGCAGCGATATGTCAATAGCCTTAAACCAATTTCTTTCAACAGGCCTTAAGCAAAACAAACTCTTTGACCCACTCTTTGTTACATCATGCTAAATTATATTTTTGCTGAAGTTCAGTCACCTATTATTTCTATCTCATGCTACATGAACAAGAGAAACAAAGTTACAAGATTTGAGTGGAACACAAACAGTGAGAAAGGTTTGCATGACTCAACAATCAAAACAGCCAGGAAGCATGACCATATCATTACAAAAATCAAGTCAGTATCGATAACTGCCCTTTACCCAATAAGACATATCATCCTTGTGCATATCTATTGTCAGGAATTCAGGATAGAAGTTTCAAAGGCGTTATCCAGTCATATACCTCAAGATCAGTTGCGCCATCACCAATCATAACGACTGCCTTGTAGCCATGGTCTTGAACACAAAGAAAGGTCAGCACAATGGTCAGAAGTAAAGAGTGCAACCAAAAGATATACAGTTTAACTAGACCTGTTTTATTTGCAGCACTGCTTTTGCTTTACCCCCACTGCGTGAAGTGGGCTCTGTGGGATCAAATCCAGCGTACTCCCCCGAAGTGCCAAAGAGCAGATGGTTTGCAATGATGTTTTCAGGAGGAATACCAAGCTCAAATGCCACAGGCTGGAAACAAGGAAAACATTTAAGTGATGATTTTGAGCCAATAAATGATAACCCATTATATATATGTGAGCAACATCTTTCGTACTGTATATATTAGGCAAATTTACAACTGAACTAAAGTGTAGTTAAAATAAATTGTACCTTTTAGTTTGCTCCAACAACTGGAATATAACGAATATACAAATTTGAGTACGAGACAGCCGAAACGAACCATGGTATGATATTACAGGACCTACCTTGATCATTTGTCGGAAGCCTCCTGACACAAGGAATACATCAATATTATTAGCTTTTAGCTTCTTAACCAAATCAGCCATTCCAGGAGAAATCCTGCAAACAAAAAAAGCAGTGCTATTGATAGTCCTTTAAATTGGACCAAGAAAATGAACAATCCTTGTTTGTAAGTTGAAACACAGTGCTTAATTCTGTTGCAGTGCGGGGAAAACAATGCTGAGTGATTTCTCTCTTTGTTTTATACTGTATTTAAAGAAATCTTAGAGCACTGCTACGAAAGGCATAAGGCAAACTTGCCAAAACGAGAATGATGTGGTTGTCTGTACAGATTTTAAATATAACTACACATTTTTTTTTCTTGCTGTGAAAAGAGAAACCTGGTCAATCAATTATCATTACTAAGCACTTTCTGTTCTATACAGAGTTACATATAAGGGGGGAACAGACAAGGGATAAACACCCATACACATTATTTCCAAAAGGTAAATAGCAGTGGTGCTGAATCCAAATAGTTAAAAAAGGATGGAAACCAAGGACACTAAAATACCAGCTACCATATAGATTAACATGAAGTTTAGAATAAGGCGAGGTTACCTAAAAAAAAGGATGGAAACCAAGGACACCAAAATACCAGCTACCATATATATTAACATGAAGTTTATAATAGGCGAGGTTACCTTGGCTCTTCTTCAGGCACTCCACCTGGGAGAGAGATGGCTTGATTAAAGACAGCCTGGCTGACAGCGCCTCCTCAAATGGAACAGTCCCAGTCATGGCTCTAAGAATATTAAGCCATGGTTAGTTCTTCCCGCAAAATCCACAGTCCAGATGAACCAATCTACACAACGGAGCATTTACTTTGATGTCCATTCAGCAACAGCTTTCCCTGCCCCACAGAAATCAGCAAGCTCGTCAATACCCTCATCCAGGATGACGGTGCTATCGACGTCGAAACATACTGCATCAGCATTGCGCGATGTCTCAATAACCCCTGTAAACATGCAGGCAAGCAATGTGCAAGTTACTCCCAACTTACAGCGCAGTCAAGGACTCTGACACGGACATTGATCAGCCGCATGGTAGACTGACCTAAACAGCCTCTAGAAGGCTTCCAATAAGAAAATTAAAGAACCTTTGGGAGGCTGGCTATTCGCCAGAACCACCGAGGACCCATCCTTGGATACATCCAGTGCTGCTACCAGTAAAGCACGGCTCTCACGAATGTTAGCAGAATGAAATAGCGGGCTTGGAAACCAAGCCGCCACTTGTAAAGCCGGAGGTGTCCGAGCAAACGACGACCGAGGAACTGACGGCAAACTCCTCAGACTGGCACGCAACCTGATCAGGCCGGCCATAACATGTGTACCTGCAAATCAGACAACGGAACACGGGATTCAGGGCTGACCCAGTAAAGAACATGGGTGTACCGTGTACACATATACTTCCTTCATCCTGTAATACAATGCATTCCAAAAATGTAAGACAACTTAAGGGACTAATCAAATGGCTACTCATGGATTTTTTTTTCGTGAACGTGCAATTTTGCCCTACTCATGGATTAAATCCAATTAAATAGTTTCTTGTCAAATTATGGTTTCCTTTTTAACAAACTTTGACCAATCTGAGCATATAGGCACCACATAGAATGTCTTATATTTCAGTACAAGTTTTATAAGTCATGATGTCCTGTATTCCAGGACGGGCGTACACCCGATAATTTTTGTTAAAAAACAGAGAATCGAATTGTAGGCATAACATGTGCATATTACACTTGTGATTGGATCAGATCAGATCGAATTGTAGGCATAACATGTGTACATTACACTAGTGATTGGATCAGATCAGATAAGATCCGAATACAAACAGCTTAGGCTAGGGTTTGGGTGCTCGGGTTCGTACAGAAGGAACGGGAGAGAAGGGGTGGGCGTACCTGGTGGTGCTCGTCGCCGGCGAAGGCGCCGAAGATGAAGGCCTGGCAGTGGGCACCTGGCGTCGGCGGCGCCGCCGCTAGAGACAGAGTCACAATCTCACAGAGAGCGCACGTGAGTAGGCGGGTACGCCACTGGTCTCTTTGGACAGTGCCACTACACACAGTGTACTGTCTTTTTTTTTTATTTATTTAACGAATGGTCAGGGCGTTGTTTTGATTGTAAATTTTTGTAATCTGGATACTATAGCACGTTTTATTTGTATTTGAAAAATTTTATTTGATCATGAACTAACTAGGCTTAAAAAATTCGTCTCGTGATTTATAACCAAACTGTGTACTTAGTTTTTTTTTTATCTACATTTAATGCTTCATACATGCGTCCAAAAATTGATGTGATGGAGAGAGAATGAAAAAACTTGAAATTTTGAGGTAATCTAAACGAGGCCCAAGTATCTTGGTAAATTGAAATCTCCAAGCTCAAGGACAAGGAGAGTGTTCTTCTCGACATGTATTGACTCAGTTTTATTAAAGATGTTTACACTGGAGAACTGATTGCTGGCTTAGTTGGGATCTATTTGGCAGGGCTCTGGTTCCTTTGAAAATGGCTCTGGCTCTGGCTCCTCTGAAGGAGCAGCTTCTCTGGAGGAGCTGAAGCCGTTCTGGAAAACGTTTGGCAAAACGACTCCTTCGCACTAGACGACGTGAACCCACAGCAAGGAGCCGCGCGAAGCTCGTTTTTGAGGCTTCTCCTGCACAGGTAAAAAATGGCTTCGGCTCTTGACTGGCTCCCATGCGGAGCCCTTTCCAAAACAGGCGTTTGACACAGCTCCTGCAGGAGCCGGAGCTGAAGCCCCTGCAGGAGCCCTGCCAAAGAGGCTCTTGGTGTGCGCCACCCGCCCGGGTTCGATGTCTAGTATCGACACCGGATGTCTCATCGGGAATAGTATTTTTCTTGATAATTTCAATTGCCTCACGCGGATGTGCCACCACTATTATATCTTTTAGCTGTGTTCTCTTAGCCTTAGATATAGATTGTATGTGTAGTTTACGCACTAGGGGTGTGTGTGAGTATGTTAGGGTGTATGCGTATGGTGTGAGTTAGTGCATGAGTTGAGATACTACATGCAATCAACGAAGCTACATAGAAATTAGAGAGTATAAATGTACCTTTTTATAGAAATAGTGATTATATCTAAAATTTCATGGTATATGCATCCTTGCGGCATATATCCATACAGCCGCAAGGCAAATGTGTTATCCTCTAATTTGCTTTAACTTCGACACGTTGAGGTGTATCTGGACTTTTGCCCAGCTTAATATTTTATAAATTCTTATAGTAGCGGGAAGTACGTGCTATCCATAGAGAGGTGTATATAGTGACTTGCCCATCTCAAAACCTTCCGATCAGTCTCACATAAGTGCTCATAAAATAACATGTATGTAGATATATGTATAGACGGTAAGTGTACATGTATGTACACGAGCGTTTTATATTGTGATAAGTAGAAAGTGACACAAGAATCTCTATTTATTTTAACAACACATCCGATCTTTTTAGATTATATACTTCATTCGTTCTAAAATTATAAGATATTTTGGCTTATTAGATACACAGTTTTTACTATGCACATAAATATACATGTCTAGACATGTATTAAAACAATGTATCTACAGGAACCAAAACGTCTTATAATTTGAAATGTAGGAATTATCACTTTAATTTTGTTCTAAGTCAAATCAACTTATATACCATTTTAATCTTGCTCCAAGTCAAACTTATTCAACTTAGACTAAATTTTACTAGTTTAAATAAATGCAAAATCATTATATATTTTGTGGTGAATTTAGTAAAAAATACTTTGATATTGTGGTATTGTTGTATTTCCAATTTGACCAAAGTTAGAAAAGTTCAAGAGAAAAAAATAAATCTAGATACCTAATACTAAAAGTGCTATTTTTTCATCTAGTCATCACTCTCACCCTCGAAGTCTTGTCACTCTCCCCTGATTATCTCTCCTTGCCTCCCTTAATCCATCAGGCCCAGATAACAATTGTAGACTGTATCATCTTTTGACATAGCATTAATTATAATTTAAATTTGCTAAACCTTAGTTGACGCTGCACCACTCATATTACGCCATGGCCACCTAAGCTCTGAGACGCCCATGTTGCGACACATGAGCGGCCGCTTTTTCAACTTTCTAAACCTCATAACACGATGCGCACAATAGCCATTTATTTTAATTGATGCAATCTTAAGTCAATTTCTCATATGCCATTAATCTTTTATTAAACATTGTTGTCAAAAAAATCTTTTATTAAACATGGCATTTATTATGAGTTTTAGAGTTTCTGTTTTGAATCACTATACAAACGCAGATATGCATATACTTGTACACACGTCACCTGCTGCGAACGCGCACACACACATCTTATCTCTATGAACATATCTGAAAAATTGAGCTGATAGATCTTAATAAAGCAATCACCGACGCCTAGCGGATCTCAAGATTAACAAAGCCGCCACAAGTAACTCACTGTCAACGGGCATGTAGTGTGCAATTGAAAGAATATCATCGTTAATTTTTAAATTATAAATTTAGAAAAATACAACCACCCCTGCCAGAAAATATTTCTTTTATTCATTTTCTCTATGAAATATGTGCAGCGGCCTGCCCAAGCCCGAGTCCAGGAAAAACTAGCCCGATTTATCCGTAAGGCGGTCGTAGATAAGAATTTTTTTCGGCCTAAACCTAGTCTGAAAAATTGCTAAGGGCTTCTTTATTTGATTAGGAATAGGGCCCTGGAATAATTCCTGGGCGAAATGACTAGGGGTCTGTTCGGTTAGCGTGGAATGAGGCCAAGAATTATTTCGGCTGATCAATGTTATACAAATTATACGATTGTTCTGGCTTGAAATCGTTCCAAGCATAGTTTTTAAGGCGGTAAGGCGAGTTACGGCGCTCCACCCCCTTCTAGACGCCTAGACGAGTTAGGCGCGCGGCGAGGCGACGCCATACACATACTCTAACCTTTCATAGGACAGCACAAACATATACTTATACATACCTTTCTGCTGCCAATTCTGGAGCCATACAACAGTGATCCTCCTGCTTCCAGTTGTCTTCTTCCATGTGCCATACAACCCCTAACAAGTTTCAACATGTGTGACTCATTAATATAATTATGTAACAGAAATACTTTGTAATCAGATTAAATATGGATAGTGAAATATATTTTGATGATATGAACTATCTTTTCTTCTCACAAACAGCAAGCTGCATATATAATAAGGAATTTAGCAACAGCAAGGAAATTTAGCAAGAGGGTAATCTACTTCTAAATGTGACCTCTAATTCCACCTAGTCAAAACATGTGCAAGAATGTAATCTATCTAAATGTGCAACTAAGATTTTACTAAGTGTCTTGCTATCTCTATCACAAAAGAGTTATGCACCCTAGGTTTCAATTCTATCAACTGGCCTATCAAACTAAGCTAGGAAAGTAAGCACAAAACCAAGGTACATAATATAAATGCGGAAGGTAAAGATGAGGTAGAGAGGCAAACTCCCGTCGACGATTCCGGTAATTTTACTGAGGTATCGAGAAGCGCTTAAGCTTCCCCCTAGTCCTCGTTGGAGCCCCTCGCAAGGGACAAGCTCCCGGTTGGGTAACTCCGTGGATAGCCCTGGGCCTTCCCCACTCGCAAGTGGGTCTCCGGTGTGCCTTCCGGCAAGCCTCTTCCAGACCGCTCTTCGCCGTCTTCACTATCAAGCTTCCAGCCAAACCGCCATGGGCCTTGTTCCCTTCGGTACACGATGGCGGCCACACCACAAACTCGGTTGGTGTGATCCCGCAAGACTACAAACCCCTCCGATATACAATGGTGCACGCAAGCACTGAGTGATAAGAGGTGTGCAAACCTCACTACACATTAGGCCTAAGCCTAGAGCAAGCGCAAAAGCGGTGATCTAATCAACCTAAGCACTTCGTAAAGCACATACGCTAATTACCTAATATTTCACTAAGCACTTGGGTGCCTAGAGCAACTAAGATCGAGTCTCAATAAAACAATTTCTTGGGCTCTCACACACCTCAAATGGTCGACCATGGGGGTATATATAGGCCCCCAAGCAAATAGAGCCGTTAGTCATTGGGAAGTGCATTTTCTGCACTGACCGGACCCGACTCTTGGTCATGACCGGACTCTTCTGATAGAGTCCAGCCACTTGTTAGTGACCGTTGAGGCCGACCGTTGAAACACGCGCGTACTGATCAGACTCAGCCGGTCATGCCGCTCTCTCTCTAAAACCTCTTTGGATACGATCGGACGCCACTACTGGCGCATCCGATCATCCACTGTCGCCACGTCCGATCCTCGCTGAGCTTTTGTCACGCTGATGAATAGTGATGCCAGCGCGTCCG